AGTTCAGCATGATTAATTAAATCATCTTTGTTCCCTTCTACACCATGATCTTCCAGTATCTCCACCAGCTTTTCTTCCCTCCCCTTCTCAACAGCCTTTTTTAAAATATAAAATAAGAGTTTAAAAGTTAGTGATACTCAACCAAGCTTCAGCACAGGTACAAAATACACATTCACAAGTTACAAACCTAGAATACTGCTACCTAGAGACTAAACCGAAAAAACAGCTCGGAAACCTTCTCAACCACAGAACAGAAAATCGATAAGTTAGAATCCAAAATCCTGAATGACACCTCCAATTCCGAGTAAAGAAAAAGAACAGAATCGGACTCTAAATGGATGAGTTCGAGATTTGATTTTCAAAGCATCAAACCTTTTTCCAAACAATTCATCCAGCAATCACATTACATTAAAAAAACAAAGATCTCTTTTTAAAAATAAAAAATAAAAAGAAAATGATTTCAAAAGTCAATAAACACATCCAAATAAGTCTAATGCACGTAAAATTCGAATTTGAAAAAAAAAATAAATAAATAAGAAGTAAAACACTTGCCTGAAAATCTTCTTCTTTCTTGATCTGATCATCACTAAATCCAGTTTTGGACTCAGATTCCAACCGATCACCCTTCAACTCTCCAACTTGATCAGCTACAGAATCTTCGGCATTGACAGGATCATGATCATTCTTATCATTAAGCTTATCATTCCCATTACACTCAACCCTATTATTACGAGTAGCTTCAGGCTGATCCAATACAGATATCTTCTCCTCTATTTGATTCACATTCAAATCCGCAGACATTGCACCCTCTACTCCTCCTCCGCTAAAATTTAAACAAAAATCAACTGCATTGCATAAACCGGAAAATGAATTAATGACAATTCAGATCAAGAAATGGACAGATCTCGTCGAAATAGATCAGAATTACTCACCGGAATGGTATGGTCGGGGCTTGGAGATGAGAGCAGAAGAATGTGGAATTGGAGAAGAGAGAACGAGAGAATTACGGAGGGGAGAGTGTTTGGATTTGAAAAGGAAATGAAGCTAAAAAAAAAAAAAAATAGATCTTGAATTTATAAAATTTACTAATAAATAGTTAAAAGGACGAAGAGTAAATAAGAAAAGAAGAGTCTTAAAATGAATCACCAACAGCTGGCTGGAAGAAAGAGAGGCACTGGTTCAACTCTTTCTTTCTTACATGTCAAACTCAAAATCAATCATAAATACATATACGTATATATACATATATTTTACCCATCCCTGTCTATTCTATGGTAACGTAACATTTCATAAATATCGTTGTCATTATTATTGTTATATTGGATTTTTTTATAAGGAGAAAAAAAAACATTTTTATCTTGAATCAAAAACAAGAGTAAAGAGATTATTCTGATTTTTTTCTTTTTTTAAGATTTGTTTAAATAGCAAGAGGTGAGGCAATAAAGTGAAATTAAGAGAATCTTTTTTGCAATTACGGAAACTGTTCTAATCTTGTTGAAGAAAATGATGTCAACCTTCTACTACTGCTTATTTAATGAGGAAATTAATTAATAATAAAAATAATAATATAATATTCATAAAGCTTCCAGAAGGAAGGAGAGGAGACTGCTCTTTTTAACGGGACCAATTCCGAACAAAAAATGTGCCAATGCCAAAGGTACAAAAAAACGCGTGAAGGGAGGAAGCTCTTCATATTAGACCGAGTTGGATAGGATGGTCCCACCCAACTCAACTCCCTCTTTTTCTCAACCTTCTAACTACTAATCTATTTTAAAGTTGTTTGGTATCTAGATTTTTTTTTATTTTTCTAAAATGTTATCGTTGGAAATGTGATGGATGAAAATAAATTTTTTTTTGATAACATATATCTATTTGATTCATCTTTAAAAATTCATGTGAAATTTTCATAAATTTATCATTTTAACATTTCAACTTATAATTTTTTTAAAATATTAATATTTTTCTTTTTGTTTAACCATTATACACATATAAAACACGTGTTATTGGTATTGAAAACTAATATGTTGAAATAGATTCAACTAAAAATTTATATTTTTTATTATAAAAAAGATATAATAAAAAACATAAAAATTTCACTTTCATAAAATTATAATGATGAAGTAACAATTTTTCACTAAAAATGTTTGAAAGCATAGGGATATAATACCTAAAATAATTGTGGTATTATTAGTAAAAAATATATAATACCCAAAAAATATTAAATTTCCAGATATTTAATATTTTTTAACATACCAAATATAAAAATTTTGAGATATTAAAAAATATTAATATTTAATATACACGTCATGGTGAATTTAAATTGGATGATTAAATTAATATCTTTGTAACTTTTAAATGAGACAGAAAAAAATTTCGAATCTTAACTAAAAATTTTTTTATTTATAGAAGATCTTTAACATGCATAAAATCCAAAATTTATTAAGAGTCCCTCCGCACGCACTTATAACACACAATTACGAGTATGATAAGATGGCAATACTACAAAATTGATATGACAGAAGAGCATTTGAATCTAATTAATCTCCTTGTACGTACGCAAACTAATTTACAAGCAGTTCATTTTGTCATCAATGTTTATGTTGTTTTAAGACGTTTTTCCAAGCATTTTAACTTTGAACCTAACCTTGGGATGACACTGTGACAGCTTGTTAACGACATTTAAACAAATGAATGTTCAAAGACAATGCTGAAAATGATTTTTACCTAAGATTGTGACTTCATAGTACATTGTACAGGATCGGAGAATCGCATGTTTATTTTATGCCATATGAATACGAAGGAGCCACGCAAGAAAAACTGAGAGTTGAAGTTTTCAAACAATTTAATTGAAGAATTCAGCCTATCTATATGTGGTTACTACTTGCCAATTTGGCAAGTGGAAATCAAATTGTTGCCTTTCTTTGTAATGTAGATTCTTCAATGCCAATTGGGATACCCCAAATTAATTAGCAAGTCTAGATAAGATGGGCAAAACTTATGATTTTTTCTTTAGAGAAAAGAAACAAATTTCGAATTCAGACGGGGTGGGATGGAAGTCGCTAACCTAGCACGAGCCTAGTGGTCTCAGCTAGAAGGCTGAAGGAAAGATTGGATGCCATCACAGCCCCATTTCTGATCTCTAGACATGCAATTACAGTGGCCCATCAATTCGATCCTTTCTTAGCATTCCATCACCCTATTCATTCAAAATGTCTAATGCGCAATAACAAGGTGTGAGTACTTACTCAATTGCCTTGAAGACTTTTGCTAATTTGACAGGGGGCAACAATTTACAGGAGATGCATTAATTGAGCGATGTAATGTCACGAAAGTGTAACATTAACACAGCCAGAGATTATCTACATGTTATGGATGTTGTACACTTGTAATGGAGAAGTCATTCGATACCAAACAAGAACCAGCAATGGATGGGGACGGAATATTTTTGGAAAAGTTACCACGTAGGACTAGGAGTGCAAACTTGGGAAATTACAAGAAACGGCATGGCTTGGTGCTCATTACGAATGATGGACAAAATACTAGAAAGCACATGGTATGCCCACAAGGCCATAACCTTTATAGAAAATGATTTGATATATGCCAAAATAGCCTATGACATTTTTGTAAAGCAAAAGCGCCAAGAGGACCCCGTCAACTCTTTTTTCCCCTTTTTCGTCGTTGAAACAATTGGCGTCTGCGCAAGATACTCTATTTTGTGTATCCACACCCATCGTATTAATCGTAATGAAAAGTTGAAGGAAATCAATGGACTTTGATGCCGAAATTAAGAGCAGTAGCATTTTGTGATATCTAACCCTTTTGTCTCGAGTTAGAAGGAAGAGGAAGGAAAATAATTATTAAATATTTTTATTATTTTTTATGCGTCCGTATATAATTTTATGTGTTTTTTTTTGAATAAATTTATAAAATAATTAATATATATATCACTAGTTATTCTTTAAATATTATAAAAAAATTTGCATGGTGAAGGTTAGGGTTTCAGTTTTGTATAAAATACGCATGAAAGTGAGATCTGTACACAAATCATACTAGATGTAGGGGGTATTCTATGGTAAATAAAATGTTTGAACTCAAGCTAGATTTGAAGGTCAAGAAAGATTGTTTACTCTAATTTTATAAACCATCTTAAATGAAAATTTAGATTTACTCAAATGTCTCGAAGACTTTTGCTAATTTTGAGGTTTGAAAACCAGCTGAAGATGTTATAGATTATTTATTTATTTATTATTATAAAAGTTGTTGAGTCTTGAATAATATAGTTGAAGACGATGGACTGTATTTAATTGTATGTTTTCGTTACATAGTGTTTTATGGAAATAGAAAGAAAGACCATGGCCACTTGCACATGTTTAATTAATAATAGAGAGACATTGAGATCATGTCATAATCGTTGCTGATTTGCTGTCATCATATTATATTTGAATACGCAACTGGAGCGGATCGTGTGCTCACTGTAGTTTGTATCGATCATATACTGTGTAGAAGAAAGAAACATGATGGGCTCTAGAATTCAGTACGTAGAAGCAAAGACAACCCACCAAGCTTGTTCCCCACATGAAATTCTGGAACCATATGATCATACTTATGACTTTTTTTACTTAATTTCTCACTCTCTCCACAGCATGTGCTGTTTTTTAATTCAGATAATATTGAAGCAGAATTTAGTCTCGATAAACACTTAAAATAACTATATCTTTTAATTTTGTATAAAAAAAAATTATCAAAATTCAATATTCGTCGTATACTTTTTATTGTATCTACTGCTCCCGGAATTGTGAGCTTGTTTGCAAGAATTAAAGTGCCATAATAACCCTCCATACAGGCCATAGCCCAAACACCATGGATTATGCAGTTTCTGACACCATTGCTAAGCTTTAATTGATTTCTTTCACCGAAGTCCTCAGAAGATTTCTGGCCCATTGGCGAGTGAGCACACAAGGATGTCAATGAAAATCCTGTTTCACAGATTCCAGTAAGCTCTACAGACTGCCAGCCAGTTTTACTTCTTTACTATCAGCTGAATGTGGGCCCTTTTTTGACCGAACCACATAGGGTGGAATGTAGATAGGAATAAATTTGCATCTTGACCGTAGCCCAACAAGAGAAACAGTAAGAGAATAAGACAATGCGTTCCACTGTCATGTGTAACAGATTGACAAGGAAATGAATCTAGTACTGTACAAAACTTGGAATTTGCATTTCGCTTTTTGGATCCAATGCTGGCTTTCTAAATCCTGCAAATCATTGGAGTTGAGAAATTAAGAGAAAGAACTATTAGAAGCGTTGTTGCAATTTAATTTGCTGTAACAAGCGAGTGAAAAACCAAGCAGCATGAAATAAATAAGATTTGGAATCTGACCGACAATTTTTTTTTTCCCTGTTTGCTTGTCTTGACTGTCTTTTATATATGAACGGATTCATGAACAAACAGACTAATCCGAAGCCATGACTCTTGAAAATTATAAATTCATGAGCTTCTCTCTCTCTCTCTTTTTTTTTTTTTTGGACCATGACTAAAAAACCAACTAATAGATCAAACAAAACAAAGACCGGCTATTTCGTCGAGCACAATGGACATAACACACAAGATACCTCGTAGTTCGTTTTGAAAACCTTGAAGTAGTGCTTGTTTTTGTTTGTTTTTACCTTTAACAACTAAGAGCATAATATCCTCGAAATCCTCTGGACTGTCATAAACAGCATCTATTAAAGTACCATCCACCAATATGAAAATTGCAACAGCACTTAGCAGTGAGGAAGAATTGATCTATTAAATATTAAATCATTTGCACATAATTGAGGAAATGCTAAATCTGTTCTTACAAGCGAGATTAGTCGAATTTCGCACGTTGTAAACTGCTTTCAGATATGTTCAATAACAACATAAAAAACTTGAGCATTTCATGAGAAACAGTGATAGTCTGTCAGAATATGAGTATCAAGAACTCCACATGCAGGTATGATAAATGAATTTACTTACAGGCTCCCATCGACCAACAATAATGTGAGCACCCGCAGCAGCAGTAGCAGATTTTATTATTGCCTAGTTATATCCGTTTTAATAAGCTACATCAACAATAAATGCACTCTTACCTGCGATGGTCCCATCGTTAGACATGCCAGTTGTGGTGGAACGCTGTTTATCTGGCAATCTTAAAACGCATAGCAAAAAGATGTGCATGTATGGAATTAAAAAATTTATAATAAATCACTAGCATATCTAGGAGGGACACAATTATGCACTTAAGCTTAAGCCTCCTTATCAAACCTAGCCAGGCATTTGAAAAACCTGCTGAATACTGCAGACAGAAATGCAATGGGGCAAATTGTCGAGTCACTATTAGAAAGATTCATGTTTGTGTAATTTGTTTAAACGAAATATCAAAAATGTTGACATTATTATAACTCGTGAGTTCAAGAAAACTCGTCCAGTAAAATGAGAGTGGTGTGGCTCGTTATGGCCAAATGTGATCTGGAAAGATAGATGGAATGCTTTGTCTTTCTTTGTACCGTGTATCTGCAAAAAAAATTCCTCTAGTTGAGAGTTTTCTGCTAGTACTCTTTTGGATCAAACACGGCAGAATGACATCCAAGTTATAGGATCATCTTTTTATCCAATTTTCTTTGTAATTGGTGAAGTTATTACTCAATACCTGGCTCTGTCTGCTGATTCTACAAGTCAGTGAGGCAAATGTTTTGCTAGCCAGGCTGCTGATCCCTCCAATGATGCGAGGAAACCCAGAATTAAATCCACCATCTGAGCATCATAAATAGGTCCTTCCATTTCAAAGTGGCTAACCCCCTCCGTGAGCTGAGTTTCAACGTGGCCAACGGCAGATTTTAGCTTGTTCTCCAGTTGTCCCACACTCGCGAACCCATCTCTAGTGCCCATGACAGTTTTGGTTTGGGCGACTGTAAAATTGCTTTATGTTGCCTCCCAAACTGAATGGAAGCAGTTAAGCCAAAAGGGTAACCTATGCTTACATAACCAATAATTTCCTCCAACTTATCAGCTGCAGAACCAGAAATTGGAGCTCCTGCATGTAAAACAAAACATCTCAGCCAATGAAAAAAAAAGGAAGAAAATGGTAGAGCAAATACCTATGCACTCAATATTAATGCTCGTAAATTTGACTTTTATAAACCTTCTAAAATATATGTTCAGAAAAGTGTAAGAAAGGTTTAGGGAACTTTTGAAGGACTAGTTGACATCCACAACCACATTTTGAGATGGTTTAAATCAGGCAAAAATATGCCATCATATGGTTCTTGTCTCCACGAATTTGGTAGCTTCAATTAATCATATATTTCATAATCATCAATAAAAACCAAGCCAAAAATATCTGAAAAAAGGCGAGACACACTGATGAACACATGTAAACAGAAACATCAAATAAAACATTGAAATCGATGCTTTCATTGGTTGCAACCAATTCAAACTCAATGATTACTGGAACAAAACCGTACCTGCAGGGGAACCCACCAAGAAAATCTTGTTTGGAGACAAGTTTTGAGAGACCCAAGTACAAACAGCAATGACATCTTGAATTTCAGCGAAACCAGTAAGAGAACTCCAGCCTGGGGATCTTCCAACACCTCTCATGTCAAAAGTGATTGCAGTGAGGCCTTTGATGGATAACCTCAATGCAATTCCATCATGAGTGCCTGGCTCCCACCCAGTTTCGAGTATGGATGCACCAGCACTGTTGCATTGCATGGTGACTTGTTTTGGGTGGTTTCTCGGGTTGGCTTGAAGACTCTTATATGGAGATTTGTGCTATCTGGGGTTGAAACGAAGCTAGATTCAATTGCATTCTTTATTGTCATGAAGGAAATAGAAGAAACAAGAACCTGGAAGAGACACTTAATGGCTATGTTAGCAGGCGAAGAAGGAGAATAAGATCGAGGTTTAAGTATTGGAGAAAGCCAGGCTGATGATTGTAAAGGGTAACAGCTATTGATCTTGTCGATGCCTGTGAGCTGCCGAAGGCAGAGATCTAGCTGGTAGGATTCACTGTTCTCAGGAGAAACTAAGTTTCCATTAGCTAATTTTTCGTAGAGGATTACAAAACAATGCCATGCCATGTCATTTTGGATTTCACAAGAAAACTCCAGAATAGCCAAAAAAAATCACAATCAAGTAGTTGAAAAGCAGTTTGAAGTCCTTAAAAAGAGTTTACAAGAGCACCAATTATTATTAGGATGTTTAAGGTTTTGAGATCAATGCTTCCAAAGCTTCCTTCCCTTTCACCAAAAGGAGCTTTTCATCATACTATTCATTTCGTTGGCAGATTGATGATAACTTGCAGAAACATGAAATTTAGAATTTACCCTAATTTCAAATTCCATATCCCCAATAACCAACCTCATTCAGTCATATTAAACAATTTATACATCTTTATATTACATTACTAAACCAAACAAAACAACCAAAACCCAGAATAACATAGTTCCTGAAACCCTAAACAAGCCTTACAAAATTGATTTTAAAAAATAAAAATAAAGGCTAATATTCCAAAAACCAACAAGAAGTATCGCTTACTTAGCTTCACAACACCAAATTCTAATTCTCAAGTGATTTCGACAAATTCAAGCACCACCAACACCGGTAGCTCCCTTCAATGCCTTCTTCAACTCTTCATTCACATCTCCTTCCATTGATTTCTTCTCATTCGTTCTCCTATCAATTTTATAATTACCACTACTCGGGCTTTTAATTCCACTTCTCTCATATTTCCCAGAATTCAAATCCCCAGTTAATAATTTCCCTCCACCAATTTCTTCCCTCAATTCCTCCACTGCTTTCTTCAAATGCCCATTCTCACTTTGCAAAACCTCTAATTGCCTTTTCAAACCCAAACACGCCTCTGCCACGTCAGCGTTCCCCAAATCCATCCCCACCTTCCCTGTGGTCCCCTCTTTCTTACTTCTCTCATCTCTACCATCCACGTGTTCAATCCCAACCTTATTCATCACCAGAAACGGTATCTTCCTAAAATTGATCCCAGCCGTTGATTCGCGATTCTTGATCTCAGCCGGAACCCGAACTCCCCACCGGAAACTCACCACCGCTTTACTCCTCACAGGCAACCTCGTCTTCGCCGCAACTTCCACACCAGAAAAAACCCCCGCAACCGCACTCGCAGTCATAGGTGACAAAACCGTAATCCTCTTCCCACAAAACACGCCATTAACCACAGCCGGAGTCGGTTTCGGATTCGGATTCGGAGGCGTAGCATCAACGACCTCAATCGATCCATCATCATCAGAAGAAACGCCACCGTGCTGAATCGACCTCGTTGCTTCAATCACGTGACTCGACGACTGCGATTTCTTAATAGAAAAATCCCCAAATTGAGGCTTGAAGTGAAGCATAAAGCTAGGGTTTATATTATTATTACCTTTATTCAATAAATTGAATTCTGCACTCATAATCATAGAGCTAGAAACCGGAGAACCGAACGGACCGGTTCCGGTTTTGATAACGAGGGAGAACGGGTTCCACGTGTCATTAGGCCGGTAAGAGATTTTTAAGGAGGGTCCTGATTCAAAGAAAGTAGAGAGATTTAAAGAAAGTTCTTTGGATTCACCGGCTATAATTCCTGATTGGAATGGTAAGCCTAAGATGTTTAGCGGCACTTTGCCTCTAAATATTGGGTTTTGGTCTTCACGAAATTTCAGTGAGGCTTTCATTTCTTTAAGAGAGGTTTAACAGTGATGAGTGAAGTGAGGATTGGGTGATTTATATAGTGATTAAATGGTGAATATTTTGGGTTTTTGATTTGTTTTGGAAGGATTTTGAAATTGGGATGAGAAAATTTTGGCTGGATTGGAGAAATTTCTCGGATGCAGTGTGGCTAGACTTGGAAGCTATAGTTTTGTGTAATGACGGAAGCATGGGATGGAACGATTTTGGTTGTAATTTTGGGACAGGATAGCGGATGGATTGGAGTTTAGATGAGGATTTCGGTCTTTTTAATGGGTGGTAAACGGCGAGCCGTTTGAAAAAATAATAATAATTAATTTAATATTAATTTGGGAAGGAATCTTTATATTTTGAATTTTTGAAATTTTGAAAAAGGTTATGTATTTTTTGAATTTTTGAAAAGGGTTGTGTTTTTTTTTTTTTTTTTGGGTATTCTATTGACAGGTGCGTTTAGTGTCCGTCTCCACTGAACGGCTTGGCTGAAATGCCAGCGGGTGACTCAGTTGATCACTTCACCAGATGGACGGACTTCTTGTGAGTTTTCAGGAAAAGGAACCCAGTAAGGGGCTGTCAACCGTGTGAGTGTGTGACCGCTGGGGCTGTTCGTGCCGTTCATTAATTTTTTTACGAGTTTTTTATTCAATTGTCATTATTATTATTTTTACATACAAACCAATTTTTTTCTGTGATAAGCTGTTCGTATCAAAATTGGTGTAATGATATATATATATATATATATATATATATATATATATATATATATATGTATTTTTTTTTTTCATAATGGTTTTTATCAATGGAAACATTTTTTTAAACAGCTCGATTAAGAGCTTCTCAACTTAGGTTTAAAGGGGACGTCCTTTATTTTTCTAAATACAGTTTATGATGTCGTCTCTACCCTAGCTTTTGTGAATTGAGGAGTGGCTAATATAAAATGACGGCTACTTTTTTCTTGAAACTTATTTTCATAGTCGTTTAAAAATAGAGATAAAAGCTTTTTTTCCTAACTTATGATTTTTTTTTTCTATTTTCATATACAACGGTTGATTTCTCATGATTGGTTATTCAATTTTTAATTTTTTTCTTATACCTAAAATCACCATAGACATAATTTTACTTGTGTGTTTGGTAAAAACTATCATGTGGTATTTTTTAATTAGCATGTGGTATTTTTTGAGTGTCACATGGCAATCAATTCCAAACACATCATCAATTTTTACTCTCAAATAACTGTAGACATTTAAATAAATAAATAAATAAATCAAAGCTTAAGCACTAAAAAAAAATCAATGGTTGGATGTTTAAAAATACCGTTTTCTCAAAAAAAAAAAAAAGCTTACTTTTCTCATATGAAATGGTTATCTCTTTCTTTTACTCTTATTTGTTCATTCTTTATTATAAATAGATTTCATACATTTCTTTTACTTCCATATATGTGTGTGTGATCTCTCCAAATTTTCTTTTTAGACATTAAAAGTTATATAATTCTAAATTCCAAAAAAATTAATAGTTAAGTGCATGAATATTTTTTTATTATTATGCTAATTATAAAAGCAATATTAACAATGCATTCACTTCTTAGACAATAAATTAAAGGCATAGTGACCGAATGGCTTACAAAGAAGATTGGAAGTTATGCATTGAACATGCAGTAACATTATTTCATTTAATCCGGATATATATAAGGTCAATTAAAATTAAATTTAGAAAAATAAAAGACAGAGAATATACAATTATGATTTTCACTTACATAATAAATAATTGACCAATAGAGAAATTTACAAAGAACAAAAATTGTTTCTTCCATCTAGAAAGAAGATCGACCAATATATGGATGAAATAATCTTTATGTGGCCAATAATTTGTTGAATTTTTTATATTGGGTTGAAATGAAATAGAATCAATATGAATAAGTTTAGTGGTCAAATTTCTTGGTTTGAATCTTAAAGGTGCAATATTTTTTGTAGCAATGAAGATAATGAATAGATAATAAGTAAAGTGTGAAATTAAGTTAAAAAATAAATACATTGTTAATATTGCATGGGCATAATAATAAGAAGATGTGTATAAATGTAACTGTAAATATTTTTTAAATTTAGAATTATATGAATTTCAATATTTAGAAAGAAGTTTTGAGAGATTATATATATATAAAGATTACGAAAGTAAAAAAAAAAAAAAAAGAAATCTACTGATAATAAAGAATAGATAAATCATAGTAAAATAAGGAAAGAGATATTTGGTGTGAGAAAAGTAAAATAAATTTCTCGAGGAAACGATATTTTCGATACCCAATTATTGATTTTTTTTTTTAGTGTCCAACATTTAATTTTTTTTCTATTTTATTACCTAAGCTTTTAATTTTTTTTATCTAAGTACTTACAATCACATCGAGTAAAAATTACTAACATATCGGGAGTTGATTATCACGTAATATATTTTTACTATCATGTAATAGTTCTCTCAACACATGTCATCAAAATTATGTCTCAGGATATTTTAGGTATCAAAATAAAAAAAAATCAAAAATTGAGTAGCCAAAATTGAGAATTGAGCACCCAAAAAAAAGAAAAAAGTTAGGCACCAAAAACGACCTTCTCTCTTTAAAAATCCATTTAAATCATAATCATATTCTTCTTCGAACTAGTGGCCATGTCCCTGCGTTGGGCTTTCGGCTATTCTGCTTTTCAGATTGCCTGAACTTTACGTGCGAACTATTGTAAAAAATATTGGGCTACCTTCAATTCCTCTCCTGCAGATGCTCTTTTTAATATGGTTAATGCAGCTCAACTCTTTAATAAAAATGTTTTCAAGAACATTTTCAAAAGAAAAAGAATTCTTACTCCTACAGAAGGAATTCAAAATTACTTATCTTTTAAACATTCTATTTTTCTTACTCATCTTGAGCAAGAACTCATTAAGTAGCATCGTAATATTTTGAGACAAGAAGCGATGTGCTGGTTTTAAAAATCCAAGGTTCAATGCCTTCAACTAGAGGAATGATATTGTTGATGGTGGGGGACAACAATTCAAATAGTTTAATGACATTGTAAATTGATAATTATTTATAAAATATTTTGTACAAATTCATAAAATGAAAATATTTTTAAACAAATGAACTAAATTATAAATTAACTGTAAAAACATATTATGCAAAACCAACATTTTTTAATATAAACAAAAGGAATATATGCAAGTGAGTCATTTGCAATTGTTTTTTTTTTGAATTTTTAAGTAGATGTTTATCTTAACTCATAAACACCAAGCCCTTCCTATGCAAAAGTTATAAAAATTCCCGAGAACTATTTTAGAGATAAAAACATAGTATTCGTTAGCTTATAATTGCGCTAAGAAGAAATTAGTATGGTCTTAGTTCAAGATGACATCTGCTAAGTCGTATTCAAATATCATGGGCCAACGTACTAGAGCCCTAAGGGCCCAAACCCATCATTAGTCTGCAGTCCTTCTAAAAGACCATCTTCTCTTTGCAATTGGCCCAGTTTTAGAAATTAGAATCTCTTCTGCAACCATTCATTTCCGCGCGAGCCCTTCAAAACTCACCCGTTTCCCGTTCCGTATTGTGTACGCTTCTCCATCCCCCAAAACAAAGTATAAAACTGTTTAATTACTGATTAAGATACCGCCAGGAAAAAGATTGCGAAAGAGACTCTTCAAATTTCTCTCCCAGAAATCTAGGGCCAGCCACCCTGCTTAATTAAATTTAATCCTCTTTCCATTTGACTTTCAAACCCTAACAATTCCCAATTCTCTCAAACCAAACCCTACCTCCATGACCCGACCCCTCAAACGCGAACCAGCCATTAGTTCCCCTCCTGCTGGTGTTGGCAGCAGCAGCAGCAGTGTCAACAATGGTGGAGCCGAAACGAGCGACATGGACAGTCAAGAGGCCACTGAACGGAGACTTCTCCGTTCGCGTTACAGTGACGTGAAGAAGATCATTATTGGTACTTTCCATTTTACGAAGTTTCTTTTCCATTCCTTTCTGTACTGTACATTTTATGATGTTTCTTTCCCTGTCCTTTATGTGTTACTTATTTACAAGTTTTCGTTTCTATTTGTTTTTCCTTACAGCTTAACACTTCAGTGATGCGTTTTTGATTGAACATTTTGAGATTTTTATGCAGATGAAAGAGAGGATGTTGGAAGGGTTGATTCTGATAAGTTTAATACCATTATCAATCAAGTGGAGGACTTGCACAAATTGGGTATTTTCTACTTTTATATTTCTATTATTTTTGTCAACTGAGAATTTGGGATCAAATTTGAGTTCGTGATGTGTGTTGAGTTATTTATTTATTTACTTATTTGTGTTGAGTTATTTATTTATTTACTTATTTTTCTTAATGCTGATTTTAAAGAGTATTCTTCTTGAAATCACTTCCCAAAATTGTCCTGCATTGAATGAGTGCATCCCATATATTGAATGGCATAAATTGTTATGGAAGTGATTTTGGAAGAATCTTTCGGTGAGAATGGTAGTATTTATTTATTCTTTACTGATTAATTATTTCAATTTTAGTAATTATGTAATTTTTTTTTTTTTTTTTTTTGCCTAATGTTGATTTTAAATAGTATTCTTCTTGAAATTATTTCCCAAAAATTGTCGTGCATTGAATGAATGCATCCCATATATTGAATGGCATAAATTGTTATGAAGTGATTTTGGAAGAATCTTTCGGTGAGAATGGTAGAATTCATTTATTTATTTTTTACTGATTAATTATTGCAATTTTAGTAAACTTGTTATGGTTTTTTTTTTTTTTTTTTTTTTTTTTTTTTTTGCTAACGCTGATTTTAAAGTGTATTCTTCTTGAAATTACTTCCCAAAAGTTTTCGTGCATTGAATGAGTGCATCCTGTATATTGAATCGCTTAAATTGTTATTGAAGTGATTTTGGGATATTCTGTGGGTGAGATTGGTAGTGTGTGTGTGTGTGTGTGTGTGTATTACTGATTAGTTATTGCAATTTTAGTAAATATGTTATCTTTTTATCAAGAGTGGTCGTATATGATTTTGTTCATTGTTCTTGTTTTTGCAATCTATGTGATTTTCAGTGCAGAAACCTAGAGAACAAGTTGCTGATGCAGAGGCTTTATTGGATATAACAAACTCCTTGGTAGCCTCGGTTAAAGCACACGGAAATGGAATAACACCTTCGGATTTCATCAACTGTCTCCTTAGAGAGTTTGGCCGACAAGATGGGCCTAGCACTAGTGCCGAGGGCAGCAAAAATTCGGTTGCTTGGAAAGATATTGGAGTTGTTGTCTCACATATTTTCAGTAGTTGTCCTGGATGCCACACCATGTAATAGCTGCAGAACATTGTTCTTTTTTGTGTTCCCTATTGTTTTGGAAAATTTTGAATGAATATTTGTTCATCTTTGTTTTATGTCTAGGGTTGGGCCAATGGATGCCGAGTTAAAGCAGTGGAAGGCTGTTGTTGGTAGAAGGCGTACAAGACCAACTGGAAGTGCTCGACCTGAAGAGGTTAGGGTGCTTGATCTGATTAGACTTTTGCATGTGCAATTGATATCTGCTATGTGAAGAAGTTAGGACTTAGAATGGAAATTAACGAGGTTGATTGCTTTAGGCTTAACCCAAGAATGGAAAGAACTATTCTTCCGTCACTTTATCTTAATTATTTATCTTCAAATTTTGTTTCATTAATCAATTGAGACCTCAAACTGCTCATCATTCCGTCATTCAGCATGAATGTGTATTTCTCAAACTCCTCCTTTGCTTGGAATCTTGAGTACGAAGCTTTCCTGTTGCTTTGTGCAGGTCAATGGCAGTGGTGCAAACGAGAGAACAGATACTGACAAAAATATGGCAACTATGTTTAGTATTTTAAAGAATAAAAGAAGTGTAAAGCTTGAAAATTTGGTGTTGAATAGAAAATCCTTTTCACAGACAGTGGAGAATTTGTTTGCTTTGTCATTTCTAGTTAAAGATGGACGGGCTGAAATAAAAGTGAATGAGAATGGCTGGCATCTTGTTTGTATGATCCTTGTAAATGCTTTCCTTCTAAATAGTTCCTTCTTGCCCCTTTTTTTTCCTTATTGGTTAAGAATCTCTTGCATTTCAGCTCCAAGGAATGCACCTGATGCTGGTAAAGTAGTCTCAAGGGAGGTAGCTTACCGGCACTTTGTCTTCAGATTTGACTTCAAGGATTGGAAGGTATCTGGATCTTAGTTTGATGGATGAGATTTTTAATTTTATGATAAATTTCTGCAGAAAGTTTCTCTTAATCATTAATACTGAACATTTCGAAGGAATTTAAGCCTCAAAGATGGGTTCTCCAGCACCAAAATGGAATAGTAGCGCAAGTACAGAAGTGGAAATAATTGCCTTCTTGCTTGTTTATTTGAAGATTTGAATCTTGAAGTTGGTGAGACCTGAGATAAACTTGTTGGTTAGAAATAGTGGTAGGAAGTCCAAATTGTTGACTGTTAATTAGACTTTGTGAACTCACTGCACTCTTGCCTCATATTCCTGCAATAACAAACCATGTGGGGATGTGCCCGAAAGATACTTCTTCCTTGTTTAATTCTTGGATGTTATAGCTATATTGCTATTGAAATTTGTTGCATTTTCTGATCAATATATTTAGAAAATAAGCTATCTTTATAGCTGGTCTATTTCTGATATGTGCCAATGCAAAATTTTGCAGTTGATGATACCTACTGTTGAGGTGGGGAAGGAGCTAATGCCAAATAGGGATCAAATAAACATGCCAACCGACAGTCAGTCAGATCCAGTTGCTGTAGAATCTCAAGGAGCAGGACCTACCACTCCCATTCGGAAGTTCTCCAGGAACCGTGGCTTGGTTTTACAAGAGGAGACGGTTGTGGAAGACTCATCTCCTGAAAGTGAGAATACCCATGTAAGGATAGCTGCTATTCGGAAAGGGAAGCGAAAAGTGAGATGACAATTAATGGGTGCATGAAGGGGGATTTAGGCACATATTATATTTTACTCATTAGTCAGTTATAAAGTTATGCACATGCGTAGAATTATAGAGGTTCACTAATTGATCTGCGTAGAATTATAGAGGTTCACTAATTGATCTTAGCATTTAGGCCTTCATATTATTTTGTGGCCTTTCCCTTTGTTTTCGCTCATCGTTTACATGATCCTTTTTGGTGGTAGAAGTTTGAATAGCAATTAGCAAATTATCCTTCTTTTCTCTCTTTTTGGAAGTCCAAGTACCAATTTTAGGTTTCTTTTGGATGGCATGCATCAACTACCAAGGGTTATAATATGTGAAGTTGAGAATATGATTATTTACCCAACAAAAATGATGCAGACAAAGAGAGTCCCTTGATTTGTTAATCCGATAATTGTTGGACAAGAACACTGTTTGCTTGATGAGGACGTAAATCAATGTATTGTGTTTCTCCTGTAAGTTGTAACAAGAGATGCATTTTGATTTTTTTACTGACTTAGAAGCAGGAATTTTCCAACAACGCCAGCGACGTTTTAAAGCGCTCTAGAATGTTAATAAGAAAAATAAATTAATTAATATTAATAAATATACTATTTTGGCTTTTTCCTAATATTTTGTTTGTTTTGGTCTCGGTTTTGTGATCTTACTTTTATTTTGGTCATTGGTGTTTCGGTCATGTGATTTTTAGCCCTCAAACTGCAGTGTTTTTTTTCATGTAAGTCCTTATACTATACTTTTATTTTGATCATTCAAAGTTTAAAATTATTGTTGTTGAGCTCATTTTTATTTTTATATTTTAATTTTTCTTAAAATGTTTATTGAAAATAAACTTTTTGATTTTATTGTAATATATTATTAGAGTAAATTAGCATGTCTATTTATTTAAATAAACTATTTTTGCCTTTCGAATAAATAATATGATTTTTTTGGGAGAAATTAGTTATATTCAGAAATGTAAGTGAATTTCGTTGTTCTTAAGCCTATTTTTGGCTTTTAGCTAAACTTTTCTTTTTGTTTTGATATCTATTATGTGATTCTTTGTTTGTTTTAATCATTGAAGTTTTGTTATGTGTGATTTTTATCCCTACCTTATGTATAATGGTTTTTTTTTTTTTTTTATTGTTCCTATTCTCTTTTTGTCTTTTAGTTTTTTTTTTTTTTTTTTTTTGTATGTGTTTTGTGATTTTTTTTTTTTTTTGTCATTAAAATTGTCATTTTACATGTATACAAAATCTCTATTATTTTGTGTTGTTTTCAAGCTAAAATAGAAGTTTTTAAATCCATTCATTTATGTCGACTTGATATTTTTTCTCTTTTTATACCCAATAATGTCTATAGTTTGATCATATCAAGATAAACAAACTATAGATTAATAAATAAATAAATAACCCATGTTATGAAAACTATGGCTTTTCGAGATTCAAGAAGTTGTTACATCATTATTTTAATTATTAGTTGTTTTACATGTTTTTAATAAAATGTCTTATTGTATCAAGTAACATTATACTTGTTCAACTTCATATGCTTTTCATTTGATTTTTCGATATGATTTTTTTAAAATTACTATTTTGCACAAAATACTTTTTATTGTCGTCATCGTTTTGTACATTTTAATTTATTATTTTCGGATAAAAAGTTAATATGAGACCATTTATTTTTCTTTCTTATAAAATGGATTTATTCAAAAGTTTGGAAATAATCCATTTCTATACTCGTTTTAAACTCGTCTTATTATCACAATTATATAGATTGTTAGAATTCTTTATTTTATATGATTGAATATATAAGAAGGCTATATAGTTTATCCTACAAGCAACGAAAGGGATGCATGCTAGTTAAAAGAAACTAAAAGTGATAGAGGTTTTGAATAGTGATCTTCACTTGTTCATCCCCTCATATGTTACTGTTCACTGTATCGTATAAGAAGATAGGTTTTTTTTTTTGTGATTTTTAGGTTGTTTTTGGATATTTATATTAAAAATTTACATCGTATTTTATTTTGATATTTGAAGTTTTAAAATAAAAGTTTTAGTCCCCTAGCTACAAGCCCAACCACATAGGCTTACCTTGGGCTTGTAAAAGCTAAGCACCTAGTCTTGCCTCTTTTTTCTTTTCTTTTTTTCCTTAGTTTTTTTTTAGTTGTTAATTTTATTTTATTTTATAAAAAACCAATCATTGTTTTTTTTTTTTTAACACAAATTGACAATTATGTATACTATATATATAATTCTGGTCATTGAATAAATGAAACTTTGATAAATAACTAATTGATTTTCTTTCTTTCAGTTATTCTTTTTTCCCTTTTCTAGAATAACAAAACGAATTCTTCCAATGTATAAAATATTAATTCCAATGGCTTTTGCTACTCTAACCTTTCCAACCATGATTAATTCTTATATAATCAAATTTTAAAAATGAAATTTTTTATTTTATTTTCTTATTTTTTATATAATCGGATTTTATCCAAATCAAATTTATAGTTTTTTAATTACACTCTATTAACTTTAATATATTTTTTACTACTTAAATTTTTTTAAAACTATTTTTTGATTTATGCTTCACATTCTTAGTCATTTGAGTATGGTCATGATATATATAAAAAATATTAATATTAGAGTTATTGATTTTATTGAAAATTGACTATGCATCTACATACATAACACCAACCATTTGATATTATTTTTTTAATATTTAAAATTAAATTTTCAAATGAAATAATTAAAATAATATTTTAGAGGAACAACCTAATAATTCAAATATATAATAATAATAATAATAATAATAATAATAATAAAGCTTCATTTGTTAATTTTTATACTAGTTTTTATATTAATTGTTACTTTATTTTTTGATGCAATGTTATAAAAAAATATTAAGATATTTTTAAAAAAAATTTATATTAGATTTAGTTTATTATAGATTTTTATTTAAGAATAAATACATAGGATAATTTTTTTTAACTTCATAATTTATTCAAAACTTAAAAAAAAAATTTTGATTAAAAATTATAATTTTATTTTTATATTTAATTTAATATATTTTAATTAATCGACAACATAATATATGCTATTAAATTGAAATAAATATGTTTAGTTTAGTATAGTCTGCAGCATATCACAAGAATCCGACTAGTAAATATGCTAAAACAAAATGGACTCTTACTCTAGCTAAACCCTCCTTTAGACTTTTAGGTTTTTTTTTTTTTGGTATCCGTTTTGTAATCTTTCTTTAAGTTTGGTTATTGAAGTTTTATCATATTTAATTTGTCTCTACAAGAACACTTTTTTGGCTTTTAGCGAGCCTTTGTATTATGGTCTTTATTTTTTTATTGCTTTATTTTGGTAATTCAAGTTTTATCATGTTTGATTTTTATCCTTACTATGCTAAAACTAAATACAATTTTATCATTCTAAATTTTTTCTTTTTGGCTTTTAGAAAAACTTTTCTTTTTGTTTTGGTTCATGTTTTATGATTTTTTCTTTATTTTAATCATTAAAGATTTATCATATTTAATTTTTGTTATTGTCTTATACATAATGAGTTTTTTTAGTCTTATTACTTTTTTTGGCTTTTAGTAAAAAAAAATTAGTTCTTATTTTATAATATTTATTTATTTTTATTATTTAAGTTTTATTGTGTGTAATTTTTATCCTTATTTTTTGCTAAATATATTTTGAAATATTTAAATTTCATCCCAATAGTTTTTGTCTTTTTATTTTGAATAATCTCTCTATCTCATCAACAAACTACATGCAAAAAACATATAATAAAAATTAATCATTTAAAATTCAAAAAATATATAATAAAAATTAATCATAAAAAATTGAAAAAAATATCGCATAATTATTTTAATTACTAGACAACATCTAGTAACATTACTATTTTTTTACCCGTGTTACATTACACATTAGATAAAATATATGAAATTATTTTAATTTGATAGTTTGTGTTACAATATGAATTTATAAAAATACACAAAATCAAAGGTAAAAAAAACTTATTTATAATTATTCAATCAAAATTTTATATTTAAATATTTCTTATCTGTGTTTTCATGATTTTTTTTGTTAGAAAAAGGATTTCTTCTTGTTAATCCATTGAATATTGAAAAAACAAAATAAATAAAAATTTTAAAAAAAGCTTTAGCATTTCATAGAATTGTATCGAAAAACTAAAATAACAATTAATAAAAACTTACATAGAATTGAATAAATAAAAAAATATTTTTTTATATTTATTTAATGTTGATGAGAATATCGGTTTTTGAAAAAATGTGCATTTAATTTTTATATATTTATTCACAAAAAATGAATATTATTAAAATAAAAAACTATATTAATTTGAATAATTGAGAGGTTAAGCCAAAACATAATGTTAATTATTTAATTTAAATAATTAATTTTAAAATACTCAAAAATAAATAAATAAATAGTAAATTTTTAGTGTAGAAATAGTTGCATAGTTAATTTATAAAAAAAAATGATTTAACATTTTTTTTATACATCATAACTATACTAAATGGATTCAAAATTTTTAGCATAAAACAAAAAATACTATATATATATATTGACTAAATTTAAAGTCAATATACTAAAATAAAAATTATTACAAATTGATTTCGATAAATTTGGATTATAAAAAGAAGAAACAAATAAAACACGTGAATTCTTTTTCTTTCTTTTTTTCCTCCTTCTAAAATAATTTTTTACTTTTATGCTATACGAAGTCTGGTTCTTGAATACGAGTCTCATGCGTAGAGTAACCATTTCGTTTTTGTTTTTCACATTTGACTTTCAATTATTAATTAACTAATTTGAGTTTTTTCTAACAAAATTGAGAAAAAATTATTTGAAATACACTTTTAATCTATAAGTACATTTTAGACAAATGATATATATTAGTCATGTCACTATTTATAAATCTATTTTTCAAAAGAAATAATAATCATGTTCTAAAAAATTATTTCGAAATCCATACATATAGAAAAATAAATTAAAATTGTTAGTAAATAAAATTTTAAATTAATTTGATGAGAATTTTTTTTAAAAAAAGACAAACTAGTAAATTTTAAATAATATATGTAATTAATAAAAAACACTAAAACAAAATGGGACCTAATCACAATAAAATTGAAGCTCGAAATATATATATATATATATATATATATATATATAGAGAGAGAGAGAGAGAGAGAGAGAGAGAGAGAGAGAGAGAGAGAGGACCAAAGTATCAAAAAAATGTCATTAATAGTGAAAGAAATAGTAATTTGTGAGTACTTAAATAGTAAAAACTCATTTTGTTTTAGTGTTCTCTATAAGTCTGTTAAAACTTTTCATTAATTTTTAATTAGTTGAGAATAAAATTTTCAATTTAATTTCAAAGTGAATATATTTTTAATTATTTTTATTTGAAATTATGTTATTTTAAACTTTAATCAATAAGTGCAATTTCTCGGTTTCTAAAAGTGTATAAAAGTTTAAAAATATTTTATTTTTAAATTCTTTTCCTAAATACTAAAAAGCAATTAAAAAATATTTTAAAAAAATCAAAAAAAAAAAAACATTCACATGTTTTGACATATTTCTAGATATTTGAAAATTTAAGAAATCAATCACGTACAACTTATGCATGCTTTTAGTGTAAAAATAGATGAAAATCTTTTTTAAAAAAATCAATTTACAATAAAAATAATTTAAAGAATCTGAAATTAAAAATTAACATATTAATTTTTAGATACTTAAATTTCAGAAAAAAAAATATACCACATGGCTTTTTAAACAAATCTAGCATGACATGGTATTGATGGAAGAGAAAGGGGGAAAAAAAAACAAAAAGAAAGAAGTGCACATTAACCGAATCCCAAAAAAAAAAAAAAAATGAACAGTAACTAAATAGTTTAACAACGAGTGTTTTACTCGTTGAAAAAGCCCACGTGTTTTAGTTTATATTAGTTTTTTGCCCGCACTACGTTGCGATTAAATAAAATTGATAGAATCGTTTAGAAAAATTATTTCAGTTTAATTATCCGTTTTATGTTGTGAATCTATAAAAATATATGAAATCAAATGTGTAAAAAATTATTTAATAAAAAATTTTGTATTTAACTATTTCTTATTTGTGTTTTTTTATAGTTTTTCTTTTAGAAAGAGGATTCATCCTTATTAATCCATGGATCATTAATAAAAAGGAAAAATAAATAATTTTTTATAAAAAAGTTTTAGTATTTCATAAGATTGTATAAAAAAACAGAAATAACAATTATTAAAAGCTTACATATTATTGAATAAATATATTTTTTTATTTAATGTTGATGAGAATATCAGTTTTTGAAAAAATGTGAACTTAATTTTTATATATTTATTTACTAAAGAATTAATAATATTAAAATAAAAAACTATATTAATTTGAATCATTGAGTGGTTAAGCCAAAATATTGTTTTAATTATTAAATTTAAAATAAGTTAATTTTAAAATGTTCAAAAATAATTAAATAAATATTAAATTTTTAGTGTAGTAGTAGTTGCACAATTGATTTCTAAAAAAATAACGATTTAATATTTTTTTATACATCATAACTATACTAAGTGAGTTTAGAGTTTTTAGTCTAAAACTAAAAATACTATAAAAAGTTAACTTGCAAGAAATATATTGACTAAATTTGAAGTTAATAGACTAAAATAAAAATTATTACAAATTTGATTTCAAATAATTTTGATTATATAAAGAAGAAACAAATTAACAAAACATGTGAATTTTTTTTTCTTTTTTTCCCACCTTTTAAATTTTTTTTTATATGTTATTCATGGCTAGTCCTTGAATATAGGCCTCACGCATAGAGTAACCATCTTCTTTTTATTTTTCACATTTGACTTTCAACTATTAATTAATTAATTTGAGTTTAAAAAAAAAACTAGGAAAACATTATTTGAAATACACTTTTGATATAAAAATGTATATTAGACAAATTATATATATTAATCATGCCACTATAATTTAAAAGTTATCTAAATCTATTTTTCAAAAGAAAAAATAATCATGTTCTAAAAATTTATTCCAAAATCCATACATATAAAAAAATAAACCAAAACTCGTTAGTAAATATAATTCTAAATTAATTAAATGAGAAATTAAAAAAAAAGACATAAAGTAGTAAATTTTAAATAATAAGAATAATTAACAAAAAAACACTAAAACAAAATGGGACAAAATCATAATATAATCAAAGTTTGAAATTGAAAAAAAAAAAAAGGGAGAGAGAATTTTTTTAAAAAATTGACAAATTAATGTAGTAAATTTTAAATAATAATAAAAAATTGAGAAAAAATTATTTGAAAAAAAAGATTTAATCTAAAAATGTATTTCAAACAAATTATATATATTAATCATGTCACTATAATTTAAAAAGTATGTAAATCTATGTTTCAAAAAAATAATAATAATCATGTTCTAAAAATTTATTTTCAAAATCCATACATATAGAAAAATAAATCAAAACTCGTCAATAAAATATAATTTTAAATTAATTAGATTCTAATTTAAAAAAATGACAAATTAAAGTAGTAAATTTTAAATAATAAAAATAATTAACAAAAAACACTTAAACAAAGTGGGACAAAATCATAATATAATCAAAGTTTGAAATGAAAAAAAGAATGAGACTTTAAAAAAATGACAAATTAATGTAGTAAATTTTAAATAATATAAAAAACTTAGAAAAATTATTTGAAATATACTTTTAATCTAGAAATGTATTTCAGAAAAATTATATATATTAATCATGCAGCTATAATTTAAAAATGATCTAAATCTATTTTTCAAAAGAAAAAATAATCATGTTCTAAAGATTTATTCCAAAATCTATACACATAGGAAAATAAATCAAAATTGTCAATAAATATAATTTTAAATTAATTGAATGAGACTTTTAAAAAAATGATAAATTAAAGTAGTAAATTTTAAACAATAAAAATAATTAACAAAAAAATACTAAAATAAAATGAGATCAAATCACAATATAATTAAAGTTTGAAATTGAAAAAAAGATTAAAAAATTTAAGGACCAAAGTATTAAAAAAATGACATAAATAGTGATTTGTGAATAGAGTTTCAAATAATAAAATGAATAGTAAACTTTAGTTTGTTTTATAAAGTAATATTGCTTAACTTTACAAGATTTTTTTTTCAGCTAACCCCACAGCAACGCACACATTATATACTTTTTATATAATTTTTTAAAATAATTATTTTAAACTAGGTATTTTATATATTTTACATAGATGAACATATAAGAATGCTGTGTCTCATCTGACATCCATATTTTCATTAGAGGAAGGATTAAAAAAAAAGCTGTCCTCAACTTTCATGGGATCCATTTATTTCGGGGAAATACAAAATTTTGAATAGTCCAATCAATAATGTTGTTTGATTTCAACCTCAAGCTCTAGATACTTTTTGGAATGTCAAGATTCACAAATATCGGGCTGTCCACTCCCACTCCCATTGCATTTAAACCATTGTCAACATACAAAACTGCTCCAGTGATAGCCGAAGCCAAGGGTGAAGCCAGGAAGGCAGCTGCATTTCCCACCTCCTCTGTTTCATCAGATTTCAAGCTTAGAAAGTACAAAAAACAGAAGGAAGAACAATGCATGTAATTGAATGGCAACGTTTGATGAATGTGTTATCAGGAAGCATTTTTCAAATCCTGTCATTTGATTAGGGGTAAAAAAAAGAGTCATGGTAAGCAAATGCCCAACTCTTAAATTTTGAACTCGATCATGTAATTAATTTATACGATTGTCCTTGGTGTTTCTTTTTGTTTAGTAGTACAACCAAGTGTAGACCAATTTGTATAGTTTCGTAACTTACCAGCAGATAGTTCCTTCTGTAGGGGTGCATTGGCCAATGAGTAATCAATCATCATATCAATAAATCCAATTGCTTTCGCAGCACGACTTCTTAATGGGCCTAAAAATATCGGTGAGCACGGATATGTGAGAAAAACATGCACACACAACCATGTTTATGCAAGGTAATTTAGCACGCTGAACATTTGACCCAGCAAGGCAAAGAAGAAGAAGAATGTGCACAGGCACATGAGTCCATGAACACAGATAGATGGTTTAGACACCCTTTAGGTTTCTATTCTATTTTTGCACACCTTAGCATTTAGTGCGAATTCGTATAAGATGGAACCAATCAAAACAACTACAAATAAAACTTGTCGTTATAGATGTATGGAAAAAAAAAAAAAATTCTGAGCCACCAGTTTTGTTGGTGCCTACTCTTTGGAAGATTGCATTCGCATTTCACACACCTAAAAATGAACAAAAATGTGGATTTCTATAAAATGTCTAAATTGCTGAATTATAGATGAAACTAATGAGTGGAGCACGAGAGATCCAATTCTCAACAAGAGGTTGGATTTGTAGACTCTTGAGTTGCCTGTATGGACAACTCATATACCTCAAGATCCAAACAGCAGCCTGATTTACAATTTGTCCAATGCTGCAAACTACAGTTAAGGGTGAAGGCATTTCCATGTTGCGCACATGAATACACCAGGACTGATTGCATAAAGAATCAAAGAGAGAAGCTAGCTGGCCAAACTCTCTTTAAAGAAACAGATAAAAATCTTAACTTCAACAAGAGATCTTCTCAACAATTTTCAAACGGTAATTATCTTTGAATCGCAAGAGTGAAATAGATGAATACAGTTTTTTTCATGCTCTAATCTTTTATGTTTGTAATCAGAAATCTCACACATTCAAGAGCATGTGCTAGTGGGTCCTAAATATAGTTCAAGAGGTTGCAGGATGTTCATTCTCCTAGCTCTGGGAGATATAATTTAGTTAATGAGGAATAGCCAATATACCTGCAGATATTGTGTTGACTCTAATTTTGTGTTTTCTTCCAGCTTCAAAAGCCAGCACCTGAATCAAGCACGGAAAAAATGGAAAATTTGAAATGAATACTAGACTATGGTGAGCCAGAGATAGAGCAAAATGAAAAGGGAAGGAAATAAGAAACCCACTCGTGTATCACTCTCCAGAGCAGCCTTTGCTGAACTCATGCCTCCACCATAGCTGCATATGTAACAATTTATATCTTGGTTTATGAAAGGAAAAAAGAAAAGGAGGCATGGTGACTTATTAGAGCAAAAAAAAGCATGTAAATACCCGGGAATGATCCTTTCAGAAGCAATGTAAGTTAGAGAAATTGAAGCGCCACCTGCAATATCAACATTGAAACTTGAGTTCCAGGAATAATTACTGGTGATGCCCAAGAAAGAAAATAGGATGATAGTTATACCAGGATTCATTATTGGAACAAATTCCTTCAGTAAGGAAACAAAGGAGTAACTTGATGCAGAGATGGCAGCAAGATATCCGTTCCTGGATGTCTCCAGGAGAGGTTTGGTAACCTGTGCAAGTGAAGTAATTCAGTACCACCAAAATATCCTAAAAAACAGAAGAAGAGGAAAAGTTACTATAACAAGACCTCTGGCCCATTAGCAAGGGAGTGCACAAGGATGTCAATGCTTCCAAAATCCTGCTTCACCGCTTCAGCAAGCTCCTGCAAGACATAATAACTCATTACAGTCTGATCTGTGGTTCAGCAATTTTAACTCAGTTACCCAGATTGGGAAAAGAAAGTACATACTAACCATAAACCACTCAGCAAAAAAGCAGAATAAGAAAAGTTTGATCCATTTCACATTTTGCAAATCATTATAACATATTGAGTAGGAAATGACTCTGTTTCTGACTCCAATTAGAAGCAGAAGATTTATGCCTCACGAACTCTAGTATCCAATGCTGACTTCTTAATTTATGTAATTTATTGCATGATTAAATGAAGCAGCTAGCCCTCATGAGAAAACAAAGACCAAAAAGTTTATGAGAAAATACAATGAACCAGCCATTATATCTTGTTAGAATTAGTGTTCCATTTTCATTTGTCGTTACTCATGAGTAAACCAATCAGTTCAAATAAATAGGAATAGGAATCTGACCAGCATATTGTAATATACAAAAATGTTTTCCACATTTTGTCTCGAACATCTTTTATATGGATGGCAATTCATAAACAAGCAGACTAATCTAAAGAACGTTTTATTACACTTCACAGGCATGTAACTTAAAAATTATAAGTCATGATATCTCATTTTCCGTGGACTTCATTACCAATCAACCAACGATAGAACCAAACAGAGGGAAGAGTAGATATTTCATCAAGCAAGATGGAAATAAGACAAATATGATACCTTAACAGTCCATTTTGAGGACCCTGAATAACGTTTGTTTGATTTTACCTGCATAAACCAACTAATAAGAATACAAACAAGATATAAGGTTATATATTGTCATCTAAGAAAATTGGAAAAAAGTTAGCATTACATCCTCAGGAACATCCTCAGGACTGTCATAAACTGCATCCATTGGGTAAACTTTAGTAATTTCCATTAAAGAACCATCTGGCAATCTGAAAAATCAAATTGCATAACAATTAGCAGTAAGCCAGAAATTGATCATTAAATATTGAATCATTTGCATATGTTTCAGGAAAAGTTGGATCTTCTCTTACATGCGTGATTCATCAAATTTCCCACGCCGTAAGCTGCTTTCAAATATGTTCAAGGCCTACAGAAAGAAGAAATATATCCTTTTCATCAGAGACTGTATTTTGTCAGAATTTGAGAATTACAAAGGCTGCAAGGGAATAAAGTCCGATCAATTTACATACAGGCACCCATGTACCAACAATAATTTCAGCACCTGCAGCAGCAAGGGACTTTGCTATTGCCCAGCCATATCCGTGGTCATCAGCTACACCAGCAATAAATGCTCTCTTACCTGGAGACAATGATCCCTTGTTAGGTGTACTGGATGTTATATTGTTTAGCTGGCAATCATTTCAGATCAGCATAGCATAGACAAACATGTTGCTGGTAAGAGCAGCATATCTGGAATCGAAAATTTCTAATAAAAAATCATATTTATGGGAAACATGAAAAAGCCTCCAAGTCAAACCTAAGCACTTGCAAACTTGTCAATGAACACAGTAGACAGATAGAGCCAATTGTCGAGCCATTTTTACTAATATCATGTATAACATTTTTTAATTTTGCATAGTTTAATTTGAACCAAGTATGGATACTATCAAATGAATCTTCAAGCAACTATCATGATTGTGAAAAACATGCAAAGTGAACAAATTATGCAGTCAGCCTTAGAAACAATAGGGAATAAAGGAGATGCATGACCTCTTAAATCAACAGGCAATCCTGGCAGAGGCTTGTTCTCGTTCACCCTAGACATTGCTCTTGTAACAACCTTCTTAAATTTTACTGGTGCTGAAGAAATGCTCTGGGAAAATGGTTGCCTTGATGACATGTGAGAAGAGCTAGTAAGCCTATTCCAAGATGCCTCTCTAGATTCAGTACTGAAATTTGCTGCATTTGACATAAATACTTTCCGAGAAGAACATACACAAGGCTTGATCATTGCCATGTTTGTGGCAGGAGTTGCAGCCGTAGCCATTTTGCACAGTTAAATCAACAAATACTAACAATTCTGCAAGATTGAAAAGATCATATATAATCAAAGCAGAAACATGGTAAGCCATAAACATAAACCTGGTTCATGGAACCTCCTAAAAGTAAATTCTAACTCACAAAGGAGAAAAACTAAAAAGATAAAAGCATTATACAACATCGCAATGAAGCTACCCACTATAACTATAACAACTTCTTCCAAGAAAATTAAAACTACAAGAAGAAATTGACATCTACCTTGTTCATAACTAAAAGATGTAAAATGACAACGCAAGTTTTTACCACGAAATCACAGCCCTAAAAATCACTCCGGTGTTGCTTTTAAAACAAACAATTCTACGCCAAAATTTAGAATCTCTTCATTCCACAGGCACAAAACATTGTATCATTTACAGGCCAATCAGCTGAAAACAGGTTCACATAACAAGTGCAATTCTTTCGGCACAAACTCCAAAACTTGTCAGGACAATTCTCAATTCCATTGTTCAGAACAATTTACATGGAAAACATTTATATTCAAACTAGTGAATCCTAGATTGACAATGCCAAGAAAACCTTGATGAAACATGAACTGACAGTAAATATCTATCTTAAAAATCACCCCTTTAGCCAATTTAAATACATTTTCAAGTGCCCAATTCAAAGATGATCACAGAAACAATAGTCAAATATGCGTTCAGTCAAGATTAAGTGGACCAGCATTTCATTTCTTGATCGATATGAAGAGCAAGAAAACATAGAAAACACTCAACATGTGACACATTAGTTATGTCATTTCAAGATCATTTTGAAACTCACCTCCGTGACTGCGGTGGCCGAGTTTGAGCTAGAAAGAAGGGTGTTTGGATACAAAAGGAAATGCATTGATATGATTTATAGTATATATTAGAGTGCGTGTGTGTGTGTGTGGATGGTTTCGATGAAACCGAGGTTTTGGTTTTGTTTGGTGACAGTTGGTTAGGCAGCTTTGAAATAACCGCAAGAACAGGTGGGGAGAGCTTCTTCGCCTGTTGGTTTTGGCGCCCGTTTGGAAATACTCTTCTGCCCCTGTTGAGTGTTGGGCCTAAACCTCTGCCTGAACCTACTTAAGCTATGAGCATTTTTCTGCAAGCTCGAGACCCGTCAAGTTGATCTTGCAACTAAAGCTCAGCCTAAACCTAATTATAACGGGAGAATGCTGATGAATGGCCTAATTCTGGAGTAAATTATAAATTAATCCTTATAATTTTGAAAATGAATTAAACAATCCCTTTAGTTTTAATAACTAATTAATTAGTTTCTTAATTATTGTTGACCATGTTTAATTTAACATTACTTTGTTATAAAAAAGGGATAATTATTAGAAAAACCTTATAAAAAAATCTTCTATCTAAAAAACTTATAAATATATTTGTAAATCTCTTAAACCTAAAATAATATTTTTCTTACCAAAAACACCTAATAATTAACACTAGTGTTAATTATTAGGTGTTTTTGGTAAGAAAAATATTATTTTAGGCTTGTGATATTTAAAAATATTATTTTGTATTTGGGAGATTTAAAAATAAAATAGCGAATTTTTTAAATTGAAGATTTTTTAGAAGATATTTTGATAATTATCCCTAGTTTAAATGAAACCATTATCTTTCAAAATATCTATCTCTATCACGAGATGATCTTGTTTTATTTAATTAATGCACTAAAATATGTTATACATTCATCTTGTAATTTAATTTAATTGTTTGATAAAACATGTTGAGTTTTAATTAATTAAAAGCTAGTATTATCGATGATCTTTTTTTTTATCGATATATTAGGATTTAAGAAATCACTAATGCTCATAATCATACATATTTTACTTTTTTTTTATTTGTATGACAACTCTCTCATTAAATTACAAGAGAATGACAAGAGTCTCATTTCATCAACATTAATTAGTTAAATTGCCTCGGTTGCTATAGTTACTAGATAGTAAAATTAATCTTGTAATTAATGAAACAAATGTTCGATAAAAAAAAAACTCTAATATAAGGAATTTTTTAGCATAATAAAAAAAAGTAGTCGAATGTTAACGTTTAAAAGTTAAGGAACATCAAAAACTTTTTTTTCTTTCGAATGCAATAAAAAAGAACTTGACTTCATCATGAGAAAAATAATAAATATCAAACTCATTAAAAACTATGAAATGAGTTTATTATTAGATAAAAAACTATATAAAAAAAACTCTAAAAAAATTCTATCTAAAAAATTCATCAATTTATTTTTTAAATCTCTCAACCTAAAAAAAAATTAAATAAAATTCTTACCAAAAGACCCAATAATTAATTAGTATCAAGTTAGAGGTTATCTATTGAGTGTTTTGGTAAAAAAAATATTATTTTGGGCTCGAGAGATTTAAAAATAAATTGATGGGTTTCTTGAATATAAATTTTTTTTAGAGAGTTTTTCTGGTAATTATCCCTATAAAAAACGACTTCTTTCTTATAAATAGTTCCATATTATTTACTTTTCCTAATCTTAAAAAAAATAGATAGATGATAGGTACTAATTAATAAGTTTTTGAAATTTTTTTAAAAATTATTAATTCATTTTGTAAAACTAAAGAGACTAATTATAATTTAGTATCTAATTTTGATATGGATATTTTATTTTTTGATTGAAGGATAAAAAATAAATTTCCTTAAATGGTAATTAAATTGAAGGTTAAAGTTTTTTTTTTTAAAAAAAAAGACCAAATCTTCTTCATCATGGAACATACCTGGGGTTGAAAACAAAAGGTAAGGGAAAGAGTAGGCCCAAATTAATTAAAAATGACTCAGGCTCACTCCATAATGGAGTCACTAGATAAGCCCATTAAAATTTTATGGCCCAATAAAAAATGGACCGACTTAAAATACATAGAAACTGCACATCTTGGATCTCTCACTTACGTCAATAGATTCAGCCCACGTGAGACGCTGACAATTCGTCCAAATGTTTATTCTCCTTAAAAACTCCAACAATTCAGTTCAGCCGACTATAAATAAATAAAAAATAATGATAAATAAAGCTATAAATAAATAAAAAATAATGATAAATAAAGCTCCTCACCTCTTTAAATAACCAATCATTAATAATAATAATAATGAAAAATAAATAATCATATTAGTAGATATGAACGTCTCTCTGTCTTAGCTTCTCCATCTTTCTTTTTGGACCCTCTGCCAGCTTTACCTGCTTCTTTTCTAGAATATCTAGGGTTAGGGTTTTTGTTCCTGTTTTTAATTCTCTTTCCAGATTTAGGGCTCTTACGACTTTATATTCTTTATTCAATTGGGATTTTCCAGTTCGTTTTCTTTTGGATCTGGGATTTAAATCTGTTATGGACACAAGAAAGAGAGGGAGACCTGACTTCAACACTAATGGCCATGGTGGATTCAAGAAATCTAAGCAAGGTCAGTTCTTTCTCTTAATTTTAAGATTTAGCAAGCTCATTTCTTTAATTTCTATCTGGGTTTTATGTGGTTAAGTTTGTTTTGGTCTTTTAGTGATTTATTTATGCTTTCGAGTATTTTGTTAACTGTTTGTGGATTTATGAATTTATATGTCTTAGCTTTTAAGAACTTGTTGGCTCTATGGTGTTTTAAGGATAAATTTAGCTTCAGTTGCTCTATGTGTGTGTCTGTGTGTCTGTGTGGTTTTAAGGCTGAATTTTTAATGCTTTGTTTGTTTTAAAATTTCGGTGCATGTCAAAAATGCAACTTTTAATTTGAGGAAGTGCTGGATGATTGTTATCTGTACTGTTTTGTTTTGTTTATATATGTTTGCTTTTCAAGACATAATTTATGCTTCTGGATTCCTGTTAGAATGTTCAGAGTATGGTGTCTTGGGGGTTAGCCGGTTAGTCTTTCTTTTACGTTGGTTGTAGTTTTAATTTTGCTTGCTTATATGCCTTACCTTTGCTGCTGTTTCACTGGTAGGACTTTAGAGTCAGGAATTACCCTCATTAGCTTTTATTGTAGTTATGATTTGCCTGCGTATCCCACCTCTGCTACTGTTGTTTGAATGTTGGCATGGTAGTGTCAGAAACTACGTCATTGGTGTCCTTGAGAAATCAAAATTTTAAACTGTCGTTAAATATTCAAAATTTTAGTCTGGAGAAACTTTACATGTGTTACAAGTTATACTTAAAGCACCAACACTGTAGCATCCATTTATTTGGGTGAAAAAGCTGCAAACATAATACTTCAAACCATACAAACTCTCAAATTTAATTATCCACAGAGTTTAAGAACTTTTTCTCATCATCAAAAGATTGTCCTTTCTTTGAGTAATATATTGTATTAAAATTAACCCAACATCCTTCAAATGGCTTCGAGAGAGAGACTTTTGGTTTTTCGTCTAAACTCTCTTTTGTCACCTCATGGTTTTAAAAAACACCAAATGTAGCTAAAAACAGGATACAGCCTCCAATATAAATACATTTGGCCAAACAAAAACCAATTCATCTCCAAGCATTTAACTTCACCTCAATTAAACATGCCCTGAACAACGTGAAACTCTCAACAAACCAAAAACACCCATAAACTTCATTGTAGACTTTGGTTTACGCATGAAGTACAAAAACAGGGTTACCCATATAAGTGGATGCTACATAAGTGTGAGAAAAGGTTGTTGGAATGTAATTTTCAGTTTACATCTATTATTATGCATTATGCATTCTTTATATTAGTTGGACAATTTAATTTAAAAAAACTCTACTTTTTGTAGTGAATTCTACTGGTATTAAACTTGGGAATATTCTAGAGTAAGTGGATTAAGAATCTGGAGAAATTGTAACTGAGAACAAGTAATTAATGTTTGTAACAGAAATGGACTCCTTATCAACTGGTGTAGGAAGCAAATCGAAGCCATGCACCAAGTTTTTCAGGTTCAAATTTTCTCACCTAAATAAGTATCTTGAATTGCATCTTTTATCTTTTAATATTTAAAAGTTACTTTAATTTTTTTTTTTCACAATTCAAGTTATGTACTGCACTAATGAAGTGGGTATTTAGCTGTTATACAGGTACTTAATCATAAATGAGCTTTGTTCAAATGAAGTTAATTAATTGAATTTCATAGAAGGCTTTGGTTTACTTATGAACTACACAAAAGATAACTGCTTGCGGGAAAACTGTTGATACTAAGACAGTTATTTGGAGATTGATTTTATTTTTATACCCAAGGAATGTCCTCTGGCTTTCCCTGCTACTTTAAAATCGATAATATATATTATTATTTTTCCATTGTCAAGTGTATTGGTTAAGTGATTGAACACAACTTCCTGTTGATAAATAAGAAATCAATTGAAGATAAATTTTCAGTTATGATGCAAAAAATTTAGAATAATGGATTTTGCTGGCATGGACTTGTATTGCTATAGCAGCAAGTTCAATTTATCCAGAATAGTATCATTTTTTGAGTGCTATATTGCTGTCTATGATAAAGTTATTTCAGTTTTGAAGTCCTGTTATCTTAGTATAGCATCAGCATAATGGAGTCTTATTTGAACATTGCATTGTCTATGTTCCTTGTTTCTGGTCCTAACAGAATTTGGACTCTAGTATTTTATTTTTCTAGGAGGTAGCCTATGCTGCTTTTGTTCCCTATATTTGGAGATGATGTTATACAGAATTCATCATGTGAATCTGTGCTTTTATCATAGTTACTTGCCTTTGTGGTTATCGTGTGCAGTTGATGGTTAGAAGAATAAGATTGTAGTCAAGATTTCAATCTTTTTAAATTGTCAAGTGATAGTTGTAGGCCTTGACTATTTGATTGGGTTTTAGGTGTTGGATCAAGTACTCTTGGACTCTTAAGCAGCATCATTTATTTTACTTTTACACATGGTGGATTGACTTGCAGAACTGGTTTTTTTTTTTTTTTTTTGGTTATGCTTTGGATTGTAGTACTGCTGGCTGTCCATTTGGCGAGAGCTGCCACTTTCTCCACCATTTTCCTGGTGGCTACAATGCTGTGGCTCAGATGATGAATCTGGGACCTCCTGTTGCCCCACCATCTAGAAGTATGGCAGCCCCGGCGCCAGTTCCTAATGGCTCTGCTCCTTCTGCTGTTAAAAGCCGGCTGTGTAACAAATACAGTAGTGCTGAAGGTTGCAAATTTGGTGAGAAATGCCATTTTGCTCATGGTGAGTGGGAACTGGGCAGGGCTTTTGCTCCATCCCACAATGATCCTCGTGCTCTTGGAAGTGTTCCAGGACGTTTAGGTGGTCGGGTGGAATTCCCCCTCCTGGCCCTGCTACCAGCTTTGGTGTCTTTGCCACCACTACAAGAATCAGTGTAGATTCCTCCCTTGCTGGATCCATCATTGGTAAGGGTGGTGTGCATTCCAAGCAGATCTGCCGCCAAACAGGAGTCAAGCTATCTATTAAGGAGCATGAAACAAATCCAAAGCTCAAGAACATTGAGCTTGAGGGTTCATTTGAGCAGATTGCCCAAGCTAGTAAGATGGTAGAAGAGCTTGTGAGAGTGACTTCAGCAAATGCCGCTGCAAAAACCTCTGGTGGTCTTGGAAGCCATGCCAATCCTGGAAGCAACTATAAGACTAAGCTGTGTGACAATTTTGCCAAAGGGTCTTGCACTTTTGGTCAAAGGTGCCATTTTGCTCATGGGGCTGCTGAAATGCGCAAGTCGGCTGTGTGAGTGGACCCTTCAGTTTTCCTAGTTAGTTTGTGGCTCTAGCTGTTATGCAGTCTTTTTGTATGAGTGGGCTCCATTTAGTTCAGGCTGTGCAATGCTACTTACGAGAGGAAATTATAATCTTCATTTTTTGGTCCTTTTGTTGCTTTTTTAGCACCATTATAGCTTTAGCTTCTGATTTTCCCACCATCTGCATGTGATGTAGCATGCTTTGTGAGCTTGCCTAAGTTGAACATAGTTTTTATGTTTATGCGTAGATAATAATAGCTTTGTCTAGTTTTCTAGAAACCCTGGAAATTGAAACTTATGTATGCCATGATATTACTTTGTTTAATGACTTATAATGCAGAGTGCAATCATCTGTTTCAGACTCCAAAATAATGCTACGGTAATTTAATTTCTGCTTAATCAATTACCAGGTGCAAGATTTGATACATTTGTGCCCTTCCCATTGTGGTCTGAATGGTTAGAAATGGACGTGGTTTTGCTCTCTATTGCAATAAGACCCAAGCTACAAACATATGGATGCACCCGATTATACAAGAAAAATCACTGCAGATAAAATCGTTGCCCATTGAATTCAATTTCACAAATCAATGCCGAAGCACATCAGCAGTAATCACCTCTTGAAGTGTACTGAAGTACTTGCATATGGTTTGGTTTCAACTGAATCCAAGTCTCAGGAGTCCAGATAGAAATGATCATCACTAAAAGCAGGCTCAGTGTTATAAGCACATTTATAGTGTTCGTATTGTTATTAATAACAATATCTACTGTAGGTCGGCAGGATCCGAAATTCGAGAAATTTTATAATATATCGAAGTAACTAATGGCATGTATAGTAATTATTCAATGGGTCTATTTTAAGGGGAGAGATAGATAAAAAAAAATAAGAGAAATTACATCCATACCTATCAAAGTGATAAAAAGATTTTTACTTCTGTTCAAATTTTTTTATTTTCTCTCTCTTGTTTCTTTAAATTTTTTTATTTTCTCTTTCTTGTTTCTTTCTCTATTTGTTTTTTTGTATTTATCTCTCTCCTCAAAATGAGGTTATAGAGTAACTACTATGCATGCCACTAGTTACTTCTAGTGTATTATAAAATTTCTCCCCAAAATTCGAATGAAAATTTATGTTAATCTAACTTTAAAGGGTTTTTTTTTTTTTTTTTTTTTTTTTTTTTTTTTTTAGGATTTTTAAAGCTCTGCACTGACAAAACTATTAATATTACTTACCTCCACTAATATTTGTACCTTGAAATAGTACGAGGAGGTATAGTATGGTGTCTAAAACGTGGAACTCAAATAGTTCATGGATGATTTTGGGATGAGTTACCTAGAGTTGTACCAACAGGAATTGGGATCATACAGGAGCAAGTTTTATCAATTCTTCATCACTTGGATGATTGAGCAAACAGCTGATCACAAGATAGCTTCTTTTATTATGTATTTTGAAAACAATGGCGATTGCTCTTCAATAAAATGCCATAATACAAGTAACAAAATGGTGAAAACCGAAGGCACTAATTATTTTAGGTTCAAATCATGTAAATTGGTAATAACAGGCTGAAATTGTCAAATTGAGGCAATTTTTGCTGTAAAACCAATAAAAAAAGGATAGAAAGAAAAAAAAAGTTTGATAAGTGTATTTCTATATAATAAAATGGCTATGTTTATAGATTTGAAACAACATAATGAAACTATAGGAACAATTAAGTTTTGAAATTAAACTTAATAATTGTTATTTAATCTAATTCAAACAGTCACATTTATTGATAAATTAACTTTAAAAATCTATCAATAAATTCATTTTGAAAATTAAAAAGAAAATTTTAAAAATAATTTTATTGACAATTTTAGTTCTACGTTTTAAGTGTCAAATGTCAGTCTTTTGATATTATAAATATCGATATACTAGACCTACAAAAAAGCCCATTAAGTAATTCACGTATGATTTTAGAAGCCCAGAGTGTGCAGAAGAAATCTGGAAATGTAAGAACGCACATTTCTGTTAAAAGACTTCTTTAATTGATAGTTAACTGCGAAAGCTCCTAAACCATAATGTGTTGCTGTATTGGAATTTGGAAGCTTAGACTGGTAGTAACTGATCCCATATGCGAAGAAAAGAGATCACTGTCTCGAACTCAAGGAAAACTTAAGTAAAAAACACAAATGAAAATAAAAATAAAAGCTTCTATTATTGTAATTGTGACAATTGATCAAGATGATTTTTGCTGTACATTTTGGAAACAATACGATAGCATTTGCTCTTCAATACAATGACAGAGTCAAGTAACCAAATGACCAAAATAGCAGAACATGCTTAGAACTAAGGGGAAAAACCACCACCATGCCGAAAACAGTTTCTGGCTAGACGGTAATAACATGGAAACCACACCGAAGACACACCAAGACTACTAAGATGAACGTAAAAATTAATATATAAATGTTCTGACTTGGGCATCAGGATTTGCCAAGAAATAAGCTTCAACAGCCTTGAACAAGCCTGCAGTCTTTTTGCCATACACATCTTTGATTTGATCTTTGTTGATCTCGGCATCACCCTTGATGTAATATGTGCTGGTTCTCTTGCATATGGATCCCTGTTACACATGTTTTTCCTCTCCGGACCTAGTCCACTCCAGTACCTATATTTGTTATCAGCTTTTATTTCCTTAGAACAAGTCAGACTTGTGCTATTTGTTGCTTTCCTTAGGACTAGGTCATTTTAATTGTTGGTTCCATAATATCTTTTGTTGCTTAATTCAGTTGTGTTGAAGGCTATATAAAGAAGCCTAAGTCGTTGAATTCTTCGCTAAACATTATTTGCTTCTGCAGATTACTATCATTTTGCTTTTGGCAATCTTTCAAGATAGCTAGTGGAAGGACAAGAACGAGAGGTCGAGGCATAGGTTGTGGAGACATTCAGGTACATAACATTTTGATATCAAAGCCTGGCCTGGCTGACGAGACAAACGACCAGCGTTTCCTTCAACTTGAGTACCAGAGCTTGAGTCTTAGCAGATAGATGACAGAAATGTTCCAGGCATTTTAAGCCAGAGAGGAATCCTCTGCCAATCGTCTCGGTCCAGTTGGAAGGGCCATCAACGGCAATGGGACTAATGGGAATTTTGCTCCCAAATTGGACTTTCACTGTTATAATGGAATCAAAGATACTACACTTTGGATTAGTTAGGAGGAGCAATTTTTCTACTTTCAGAACACTGTTCCAAAAAAAATAAGTGCTCTTATCAACCTACCATCTCGAAAGAGATGTCCAGTCATGGGTTCAAAGCCAAAAGAATTTGCACACATGACCTCATATGGTGAGAATTGAAGGAGGGGCTGCTTATGAAATGTTTTGATATGTCGACTTATGAGTTGATCTGTGTAAGCTTTAACAAAACTGATACTATTTGTGAGTACCAAAACCAATTTGATTGGTTGTTGGCGAGGCAAGGACTCTAATTGATGAACAAGAAGTAGGGGCTTCTCTTAGTGACCTAAAAGAACAGTTGAGGGTTGATGTGCAGGCCCACCGCCCTCCTACTCTAAATGAGGCCATTTGGCTAGCCAAATTTTTTAAAGTCAGGCTGTCAAAGCTCGAGAAACACGGCCTGGTCCCTTATTCAGATGGCCCATTTAGAGGAGAATACTTTTTTCCTCGATAAAATTGGATTCTCATCCCAACCACTGACTTGAGCAAGCCTGCGATTCTTTTGCACTTCCGCATCATCCTTGATATAATCTGTGTTGGTAGCCTTGCAGATGGATGGATTCTCTCCCTAGGGCGGCCACAAACTTGCGCTCTTATATGACATTTTCAAGTGCGTCCTTCAAAATTGAAATATTTATTTTTATCCTCTTACTCAATTCATCAAGATGCTTCGCTTATTGGAAAAGGCATGGAACACATTTTTGCTTACGATTAAAAGGAAGCATATTGATTAAAAGATAGGACATTTCTTTTTATTCTATCTCTATCTGAAAGTTAATGAGCTATATTGGATGAGATTAAAAGCTTTCTAAAGTATCATGGATTAAAACCTTATCTGATCAAGAAAATAAAATAAAAGACTGCACGCCTAAAATAAAACAACCAAGGCTACTTTAATCAGATGGAGGAACTCAAATCAAAATCAATTAATCACATGGATGCCAGAGGCATAAGCTTCTAAATGAAAGTCCAACTAGGTGATTGTATTACAAATAACAAAAGAGGCATGAACTTAAGATTTAAATACGCAGTTACTTGGTCACAACACCAAACGAGGCTGTTTTAAACCAAGTCCTATTTGGACTTCTAATTCAAAATGACTTAGCATAAAACAGAGTCCCCCAGATTGAACTCAATCCAACAAATTTTGATTGATCACATACAAAGGACATAACATGCTGAAGACCACCCAGTACGAAGTCCTTCTGGAAGGGGTCCTCGAAATTAATTGGACTTATGATTTAATTAAAAAAAAAAGTAGATCGCAAAAATTGAAACAAGTTTGCAACTTTTTAAGCGTCCCACGAAAAAAGGACGTGATATTTTCTAGACTCAAACTCGTTACATGGTAATTATTCAAATAAACACGTTACAGTGCATTATAACACAACAAACAACAAAGAAAATCACATGAAAAAGTCGAAAACTAACTTTCTAAATACAGACACCAAACACTTGAAACTGTAATAGCTACTAGAGCTGCCATTCAGAAGCATTCCAGTTCAAATCCCGGTCCCCGTCCCAGTCCCATATCCAGTGCCACCAGTCCCATACCCAGTGCCACCGGCACGCGTATTATGGCCGGTGGTGTCACCTGGCAGCCCACTTGGGTGGGTCCTCGTCACGCCCTCTTCAAGTTGCCCACCATATGGCTGTCCAGTTCCACGTCCTGGCATGGCCGACATTTGATGGGTTCCCGTGGGGTGACTAGGGACCCCAGTTGCTGAATGGGTGTGGGCGTCTTGGCCACTTGTCATGTAAGCGCCAGTCCCTTCAGCGGTATACTGTCCATGACGTCCAGTTGCTGTACCAGCCTGCCTAGAAGCCGCATTGTGCTGTTTTGCCTCCAGTTTGTCGAGTTCTGCTTGTGTCATCCTCTCTTGTTTCTTTTCGCTTGCCATTTGTTTCTGCACAGGATCATGTGCAGACATCTTCTCCACCTGCAAAAAGTTGTAACATTGGCCTTATCACTGCGTCTGCTTTGCAAGATACTAGCGAGAAACAAAAAATTAATTAAATTGCCAAGGTTTAATTAGTTGAGCACTAAAAATGAAACAACGTTCTATTTTTCTTTTTTCTTTTTTAAATTCTCTGCGAGTAAAATTAATTTGTTTTTTGAAAGAAAAAAATATTACTTTTCATTTAATCAAATAACAAACAAAAAACAAAGAAAGAACGAACAAAAGAAGAAGTTTTAGTGGATGCAAATCTTTTTCACATTTTATGTCATTGATATTTTTAAAATGTTTACTATCATTCAACGATAAAGTCTCCAAGTTACTGCACGTAATTGGAGGTTCTAAAAACAACCAAAAATTGAAGAAAAAATTACTTCGAAAAACAAGCTAAGTCTTTTCCTCCAAGGATAAATATTTTTTAACAAAAAGAAAGGAAAAGTCGAATTAACAAAAAAAAGGTTTAAATGATAAACCTTCTCTTGCATAGCGGCTTTAGTCTTCTCCATGCCAGCCTTAGCAGAGGCAGCAGTGTTAGCAGCAGTTTCCTTCATGCCCTGCATTTTCACTTTCCAGTTTTATTTTTTACCAACTCAAATGTTCTCTCTTTCTTTCTTCTTTTTTTGTCTTTTTAATTTTTTCCTACGATCGTTAGCACTCTAATAGCGAGCTTTATATAGACCCATACAAGATCTTGGTTGTTGACACGTGTAGATCTCCATGGGACACGTGGGGCTTGATGGGGGATCCTTGGGGTGTGATTTTGCCACATGGAGTCTGGATAAGGATGAATGGAGGTTTCAAGGCAATTTCAATTTTTGTACGTGGCAGCTTCTGTGGGATATGTGGCGACACGGAGGAGCTTGTAGTTGTAATTGCTACACGTGTGATGCCCCTTAAACTGGACCCGATTAGCTCTGCATCGGATCCGCACATTTATATCTCTAGTCTGTGTTTGCTTGGAAAAAAATAAGTTTTAAAAAATAAAATTTTAATTTTTTAATTTTTATTTCACGTTAAAGAAAAAATTTAATAAAAAATTATTTTCAATCAACAAAAAATGATAGAGTATTTTTTAAAAAATATTTATTACAAGAATCTAATTTTTTGTAAAAAATTTGAAATTAATTAATTCGTTAATAAATACATTATTTTCTCAATACTATTTATTTGCAACTAAATCAATAATTTGTAATTTTAATCGGTTATACAGTTTTATTGATAATTGTAGTGAATAATTAGTTACAAATTATTTCAATATTAATCTTTTGAAACCAAATGAATAATTATCTATAAATGATAACTAATAATTTATAAAATTATTTTTTAGACTAAATTATCAGTTCAATTTCTAAAAAAAAAAAAAGAATTCTTAATTGAGTTACCAAAATAACAATGCTAGGATTACTTAGAATTTTTTTTACCGAATGTGAATATTGACTTGATTTTGTCCTAAGTAATTTTGATGAATTGGTTTGATGGTTAAAAAAGTATATTTTATTTTTTTGAATTAAAATTTTAGAGTCAGTATTTATAAAAATTTATTAATTTTTTCTAAATGTATTTTATATTGTGAAATTATGAATATGTCTTTTTGAAGTTTCTCAAAACTTGTTGATGTAACGATCACATACTCGTTTTTGTATTTTAATTTTCCGTATCAAACAAAAACTGAAATATATTTTTCAACAATTTTTTCATATAATTGCCAAACGATAAAATATTTTTTTGAAAAATAATTTTCTAAAAAATAACTTCCTCATGAATTGATTTCCCTATAAAAGTTATTTTTCGCTAAACAAATAAAGCTTTAATAGTATTACGCTGAATTAGTTATTAAAAAAAAAAAACAAAATACCAGTTGATGGTAGATCCTTTCTAGAATCCATGGTATTTTTGGTGTTGAAGTGGCATCCATGAAATAGATTTTGGTGCTGATTTTTTTTTCATTCCCAAGTACCCCATGTTTAAAGTTCTAGAATCCATCCAACGAACAAGATAGATATAACTATTTAAAGAGTTTTTTATATATATAAACTTGAATAGAGATTACTTTTTTAAACAACTAAAGCTTTTTTACTCAAATTAATCCTTTTAGATTGATATTGATCTCTTTAAAATATAGTTTTTTTTTTTTCTAAATTCAATTTCTCTAGTTTGAAAGAAATTAAGAAATCAATATCACTAAAGAAATGTCATCATGAGCCAATACTTATGAGATATTCAATTAGATTGACTAATGAAGTATTCAAATTAGCACAACTGTGATGAATTAAGGTGATAGTTGATGCTCCAATTACTTATCTTTGCCAAATTCTACCATTAATGTGTTCCTAAAAAGTATATTCAATTAAAAGATATGGGATGAATGCTATTTTACTTGATTAGGCAGCTACAAAAATTTAGTTATAATCCGTTTAAGTATATAATATTATGATTTAAGAGCATAATAACTCTTTCTTATATCACAATGTTCTTGTTTGCAATTTGAGAGTCTCATTTTCTATTGCGATAATGTATTGTGTATTTATTAGTTTCCTCGACTTTCGAGAGCTTGGAAAAAAAATTAGGAATTTTCTTCCTAAAGGAACAATATTTAAGTTTTTCAAGAAATCTTTTCCAATTTTTTTTTTAGAAACAAGAAACTTAAATATTGAGAAATGACATATATAAAAGAATCATATCATATAGATGAAATAACAAGTTGATTGACATGAAATTAAATACCGCCCTTTTCTTCTTCTCAATACATATTTATATGCACACCCCCCACCCCCTCACGTTATTACCTTATATATATATATATATATATATATATATATATACTTTATTTATTTATTTATTGGAAAAATCACCACTTCACCTCCTTATTTATGTCAATTTTGCAATTAATCTATGTAGTAAAAATTTCGTAAAATTTATCCTTCTCATTTCATAAATTTCATTCAATAGGACTCAACTGCAAAAGAAATTTCAATTTCCAAGTTAACTTTTGTTGAGATAGAAATTACTGATCATGTGACACCTATTTTCAGTGGAAACATTCACATGATGCTTAACCTCTAATTAAAAACTCGACAATGTTTAAGAAGTTTAAAAAATAAAATATTTAGAAATTTTTAGGAAATAATTTATTTATTTGGAAAACACTCACGAGGGATCAAAATTTTATGAAAGTTTAAGAACTAAAAAATTAAAAGAGTCGTTTGATTCGTATAATATTGTGAAACAAAAAGCTGTCTGGTATTATAGTATATCTTCTTATCCATAAGAACAAAAAGATTGTTTTTTTTTTTTTTTTTACATTAATGTTTTCCTGATCTAATTTTTGCCTTAGGATGAGGAAAGCAAAAGGGTTAATCGGATAAAACGTTCATTTATTTTTTAGGTTTACTTAACGAATTTCGACCCATTGCAGCTCAAATTCTTCTTCTTTTTCTTCCTCTCATCTTTTCTATGCTACAAAATCCTCAATTTGTGAAACTCTAAAGCCTCCCAAATCCATTTTACTGGCTATGCCAAGAATACAAGGTTGGATGAGGCATTTGATTTAGTTGAGAAGATGTCTAAAAGGGATTTATGCTCATGAAACAAGATGCCTGATAAGAATGTTTTTTCGTGAACTACAATGATTATTGGGTATGTTTAAGAGGGAGAACATGAAGCAACATTGAAGTTTTTTAGGGAAATGATAAAGGATAGTAAAAGCAATGAAGTTCACTTGGTTTTTATCCAAGAAAAAACAAAGCTTGTGTGCAAACATGTGAGCCCAATATGATATCTCATGATTACATATTGGGAGATACTTTCCTTTGATTACCTTGCCATTTATTGGGAAGTCTGTTTTCTCTATGTAGTATTGTTGTTGGGATTATGTTATGTATTGTTACTGGAGGGTAATGAGATCGATTTCGGTAGCTTGTGTTTTGATGCTAAGGATGGTGTAATTAACCTTATTATCAGTTTTGTGGCTCTTAGGTGTCTTTGTGCTATTGCTTTAGGTGTAGTAGATTTTAGGTGCTGAAAGGCAAAAATATATCTGTTTGTTAAGCTTTTTTATTAGTGTAATAGAGCCTGGTCGTGGTGGATGGTCGATCCAGAGGATATGTCTTGACAGAACAATTATTGTTATAGGCAGATATATGATATTGGGGGATTTCTGTTATATTATGGTGTTTCTAAGTGTACCTTTTATCTACTGCAATGGCCAGGATGTCTACTGACCATTTGGAGTATGGAATTTCTAATTCCTCCGATGGATTCTTGGCCTGTTCAAAGCTTATATTGAGCATTTTGGAATCTGGTTTATTGAATTTTTGGTGGGTTGTTATGGCTTTTTATTATGTTGTTTTCTTCAAATGTCTTATGCTGAATGATGACTACCATGACATTTGTATGGCTTGTTCTTTGCTCTCGCATTCCAGTGGCTTTTTTGTGTTTTTTGGAGAGATTTATTGCTCAGTTATGCTCGTTTGTTGCCATTCTCTAACTCTTACTAGTCTTACTGGTTGGCTTGGAAGTCTTTTGAGTTCCCTAGGTTGTCTCTTGCCTCAATTATGTTCGAATACTCAAGTTAGTGATGTAAATCTCCTATCATTCATGTTTTATTTTTTAAAAATGAAAAAAAAAAACTCCACCCATTCTTTACCTGTCAAAAGGAAAAAAGAAAAGGTCTGTGCTCAAAAAATGATTTGAGATTTTTGAAATTTTAATCAATTTAGATTCATCAAATCTTTGATTAATTATTAGAGGTTTCCAAACAAAAGAAGATGGGATAAACTCTTATTGATTTTTTTTTTTTTAAGTCACGTCAAAAATTAAATCTGGTAGAATTTTTTATACTAAGAGTCAGTTTCTATCAAAAAGATTAATTGAAAAATAGTCAAATGTGCTACATTAAAATTAAAAAAAAAAGGTATTAAAGCTACATTTAAAAAACGAAGAGAGTAAAGAGACGTTTTATGCAATTAACCTGAAAACAAAACCTTATTTGTGTGTTCTTTAATTAGAGACAGGGCCTCACGGCCTAAAGCACATCAGACCCAGAAAGGCAAAGCAAAGCCTGATTCCTTATCCTTCGTTCACTTACACCACAAAAATCCTCGTAGAGATTTTTCTTAAGAAACCTTCTCATGGTCAAACTCTACTTGTTAGACTAAATTTCTAATTTGTTTGATGATGCTAGTAGGTTCTCCATTAGGGAAATAGTTTAATTATTATACCTCCTTTTCATGTAATTTACAATTGAGACGACATATTATTATGGATACGATTTGATTTGAAAACAAGATGTTAGAGAAATAGAGATGACATATGGTTGATTTAACTATATAAGATATTAGAGAAGTAGAGAAGATATAAATTTTTATTTTTCTCTCATTTTGATAGTAGGAGATGAGATTAAAACAATGCACACACACATATATAAATGATTTATTTTATTGTTTAAGCATTTTTTAATTATATATCTTGAAAAATATATATAATTGACAATGAAATAATTATACATTCATCATTGTATTGTCTTGTTTTTATATCTAAAATTTTGAATTTAAGATGGAGAACTTTTTTCTATTTCATTGTATTATACATATTTTATGTTTTAAATATTTTTAATAACAATATTTTTCCTTAAAAAAATAATAATCTAAAGTCCAAAGTGGTGAATAATAACTCTTGTACACATAAAGTTGATTGGTAAAAATAAATTTATGGTATATTCTATAGTATATATAAAAGTAACAAACTTAAAGATAAAAAAAAAAAATATATATATATATATATATATATATAGCTTGGATTTGAGCCAAATAATGTGGCTTATTTTTAAAGTGAGTGGTGCTAGCACTGTCCCTACGATGATAGTGGTGAGCGAAATTAATGGTTAATCATTGAAATTCCCGAATAGTCAAGTTTTTTTTTATAAGGAAATAGTTATGGTTAATTACTGAATGATTGGTTCAGTTATGGTTTTCATGATTGCCGAACTGAAAATTGAACCATAATTGAATTGAAAGGACAAAATTTATCTTTATCTATGTATTTGTGTATTGAAATATTAATTACAATTATGTCATTGATTAAGAATAATTAGCAATTTATTTCATACTTTAAAATTAATTATATTTAAATTTTACCATGATATTGAGACTGGTCTCTTTTTTATACAATTATTATGATAAATAGATATTTTGTATTATTTAATTTATTTTAATTTTCATTTTGATATATGATTACTCGAATTCATTAAATTTATTCGTTCACTTAGGTTTGTTTAAAAGTATGGATAGTTAATTGATAATCGATAACTATGATTATAATTTTACAAATTTCATAATCAATGGTTATAGATATGGATATAGTTATTGGTTTTTGTCATGGTTAGACTTTTACCTAAAATCGCAACTATGATCCACTCGTTATCATTCCTAACCGACTAGCACTCCTTTTTGCGGTTTAGGTATTGCCTCTCATCTATCATAGTAATGCTTAATGGCACACTTATAAGAGTAATGAGTCCATCTTGTATTAAACAATCTCTATTCGTTATGGAATAAACTTTAAAGTATCGACTTTTTTTGTAGAAAATAACAAAACTATAACCTTTTACCAAAATCATAACATGAGAGAAGATTAATAAAATCTATGTTTTTAATAAAAAAAATGATTAATTTAAAACATAAATTACTAATGATTAATTTAAAATATTTTTGTAATATATGATGACCTACTAATACGGGAACGAAAGGAGGTATAATAATACTAAACTTAAGGTTGTTTTGATAAATTAAAATAAATATGAGCTCATTTTCGTTTATACAAACAAAGAAGTATTGGTCTACTCGGGTGTGTAATAAGATTTAACTACTAAAAGATCTTAACCAACCTTTCATTAAAAAAAGAAGAAGGAAAATTAACCAAACTTCACGATGGATCGTAAAAATGAGAGAGAAATGAACATTCATTTGTTTGATAGTATTATTGTTGTTGTTGTTTTTCCGTCACAGGTGGTAAGAAGTCTAATGACCAAAAGAGTATTAGAAAAAGATGTGAGTTATTAAGTGTATGTTTGTCATTAAGAAAAAATTACTACAATCACAATTTTGATGTAATGTGTCATTTAATTGCGGTAAGGTTCGTGCCATGTGAAAGTGTGATAGTGCAATCATTTGAAAGAATTTTATTGCTACCTAAAAGTGTCGGCACTTGTTTGTTAACTATATGAATAATCGATATCCCTACCACTATACCAATTTCTAATATAACGAAATGTCGACTTAGGTAGCGTGTTTTTTCCTTAATATAGGAACCTCCTTCCAAACAACATAAAAGTTAGTATGATTGGAAAACAAGATCTATAAGTTATAATTAAGTGTATGTTTTGTCCTTAAGAAATAAAATTACTAAAAGCACACTTTTGGTATAATGTGTCATTTATAGGAAGGTTTGGTTTCATCTATGAAAATGTGACAATGGAGTTACTCGAAAGAATTTTAATGCTATAGCTAGTTTGGCACTTGGTATTTAACTATAGCTGAATAATTAATATCCCCGACATTTTCTCATGTAACATAGCCTCCACTTAGGTAGACTGTGGTTTATTTCTCATAGTATTGGAACTTTTCTCTCACAAGGTGATGATTCTCATGTTATGATTATTAATGAAATGATTTTCAATCTAAGTTGATCATACAATGGTTATATCTTGATAGATGTTGATGACACTTTAAGAGAGTTTTTAGAAAACTGTCTTCTCTTGTTAGAGAATTCCTTTATATAGAAAATATACATACCGATTTACGACCAATATACATGCCGAGTTACGACTCTAATAGAAGTAAAACTACCATACAAAGCTATCACAATCAATATACGACTAGCATATCCTAAATTAAGGAAAGAATCAAGGATTTGTAATTATAGTGAATCAATTATCGAGCATAAAATCTAGGAAATTAAATGGCTAGTTGATATTTCTTTGACATCCCTCCTCAAATTGATGCTTGGTGGATCTACAAGCATCAATTTGCTAAGAAGAAAATGATGGCGCCGACGGGTCATGGATTTGGTGAAGATATCCGAAAGTCTGTAGAGTAGTGGAAATATGTGGAAGGGTGATAACCTTACGATTAAAGGCATCTCGAATAAAGTGACAATCAACCTCTATGTGCTTCGTGCGCTCATGGTAGACGGGGTTTGCAACAATTTGAATGGCACTAGTGTTATCGGCATGTAATGGAGTAGGTCGAACCCGGGAGAAACCAAGCTCGTGAGGAGACCGCGTAGCCAAATGATCTCCGAGCTAGCAGTCGACATAGCACGATACTCGGCCTCGGTAGATGACTTGGAGACACAATCTTGCTTCTTGCATTTCCAAGAGATAAAAGCATCACCAAGAAACATACACCGACTCGTAGTAGATTTCCTTGTGTCCGGGCGACCGCCCAATCAGCATCACGAGTAGGCATGTAGGCGTATTGGAGAACCAATAGGGAAGAATACGCCACGACTTGGTGTGCCAAGGATGTATCGAATGATGCGACGGATAGCGACTAGGTGGAGGTGTCGAGGTGCTTGCATGAACTTGCT